TCCCTTCTTTCTGCTCTTGTCTTGTGCCACCCAGTCCGCTCTCAGCAGTTCAGCAGGAGCAGTTTTTCCTTTGAGAGCTGTCACAAAATGCAGGGCCCGGCTGTGCAAGGTCCATCTGTCCCTCCTTGGCAGGGAATCCCCATGGGCTGTGGGGTCAGCAGTGCTGTGGGGTCAGCAGAGCTGTGGGGTCAGCAGTGAATCCCCATGGGCTGTGGGGTCAGCAGTGCTGTGGGGTCAGGAGTGCTGTGGGGTCAGCAGTGACTCCCCATGGGCTGTGGGGTCAGCAGTGCTGTGGGGTCAGCAGTGAATCCCCATGGGCTGTGGGGTCAGCAGAGCTGTGGGGTCAGCAGTGCTGTGGGGTCAGCAGTGCTGTGGGGTCAGCAGTGCTCCAGTCAGGGATGTTTGCCCCACTGTTTGATCAGTGTTCTCAGTGCTTACAGTGGACAGACCGTGGGTGCTCCTGGGTGTCCGGTACTGTGAACCCTAACAAACCCCAACAATCCCCAACAGAACATCCCCCATGAATTCAAAGATCCTTTTCCTCCCATAGCACCCTCTGCAAGGACTCCCATAGAGTGACCCAGCTTCCTCTTTGATTGCCCCAGAACACTGTGGGGCTGTTCCTGTGACACTCACAGCATTGGGGATACACAGACACCACAGAACACCACATAGGATACACATACACAGACACCACAGAACAATCCTTTAGAGCAATCATAACACGAGTCAGAGACGATGCTCTGAGCATTTCATAGGGAGAAGACAATTGTGTGGGATGAGAGATAATCTTTGTGAGTTAAATTACATCAGTTGTGCTGTTTCACTCAGAAATGGCTGAGGGGTATTTTGTGGCAGAGAAATATTAGCAATGATTGTGTCAGAGCAGAAAACAGATGCAAGATTGCCCATACTTCTTCTCGAGGGTCCTGAGCTCCCCGGGAGGTTTGACTGTCCCCAATTCTGCTGCAGATGAAGGGAATTCGCTCTCCCTGTGGAAAATGCAGAGTTCTTCAATGCAGAAAGCTGTGAACACACTCAGGAGACCTCGMTGCAATCTCACAGTTCTGAACTTGCCTTTGTTCTCTTTGTGRTTCCTTTTTTTTTACTCTTTAAATAAATCAAGTCCAGAGAATTCAGCWGCTGCAGAACACTTTCTGTACTCATTTAATTGGGTGATACACTGCAATTCGTGTTCCACTAGAACACCCTGCACATAACTCATTTGGGCAAAACCAAAAATCCCTCATTTCTTATTTTCATTTCTCTTACAGACTAACAGCTAAGGCCGTCGCTGTTCTCTTACCAATCTTGGGAAGTTCMTGGATCTTTGGGATTTTGGCTGTCAATGCCCATGCATTAGTGTTTCAGTATATATTTGCTGTTTTCAATTCGCTACAAGTAAGTACCTGGTGGGAAAATTGATGGCTACACAAGTGCTGCTGAGATCCAATTAAATGGACCATTAGTGATGTTTTCACATGTTTATGCTTATTGCATTTTATYCTGTGTTGCTTCCTCTGTCTTTTAAGTCTGTGCTGACCCCACAGTGCTGCCAGTTGTCTGTTTGAACAGAACTTGTATCCACTCCTTGGTGTCTCCAYAGCCATAATTAAATAAATGAGACAGCTCTGAGCTAGAGAAATGAAATTCATTCTTGCAGCACCGTGTACCACAGGCAGGATCCTTCAGCAGAGATACCAGGCCAATTTTTCAGTGCCAATTTGAGCTTCATTACTGAGACGAAATGAAAGCAAACAGAAGTTGATGGGAAAGATGAAAAGTGGAGCTATTCCCTGTGTTGTACAGGACTCCTGCATGCAGGAAACTCAACCCTCATCTTCTTGGCCCAGGAAAGAAGCTTTGTCCAAGCAGGAATGTAAATATCTGCTYAGCTTCAAGCAGACTCTTCACTAGAGGCATAAACCTACAGATGTGTTGCAGTTCTTTCCCAAATAGTGGTTTCAAAGAGGAAAAAAATAATCTCCTGTAAATCCTTTTCTATTTTGGGAATAAACAGCGCTCTGGTCACAAAAAGATTGAAATAGGGTTCTTGGTGCAAAGTTTAGGGGTGTCTTTTCATGGGAGAAGTTTCAGACAAGCCTCATTTATTAACACTGCAGGTTTCTGCAGTTTCACACTGGTTCAGGGCACTCTGGTATTTACAGGGCTCCWGATGCCTGCTCTGTACAATACTGACACAAACACAATATTGCATTATTGTATTTGATACCTCACAGCCACACCTCACCCTTCTCCCTTTTTTCTGTCTTCAGGGATTTTTCATGTTCCTGTTCCACTGCCTTCTGAACTCAGAGGTTTGTAACTAAATGGTGTTAATAAATTTGTGTTACCTAATTCAAAGCACAGAAATGTGAAGCAAGAACAGACTTCCTCTATTACCACTGCCTGCTCTGTCACTGATTTTCTTTTAATTAGTTTATGAATGTTGGTGGCTTTGTGACTCACAGCATTTTGACCCTGCCCGACATTTGTTTTAATTAGCATAAGAAAGGATTGGAACAAAGAGCAGAGACAAGAGGAGGCAGTTGAGGAGTGAGGCAAGAGCTGTGGTGGCAGCTGCGGGGGCTGAGCAGGGCASGATGCTCAGAGTGGGAGCAGAACTCGCTCTGATGGGGCTCTGCTGGGACTGCAGTTCCAGCGAGGAAAATAAACCCCATTCTCACAAAACATCCTTGTGGATGTTGCTCATGCAGTCCTTAATGGGAAACCAAACTGAGCAGAAGATATTGCAGGTATTTTTCTTGGTGGGAAGTTGAGGTTTCACAGTGGATTGAGGCATCTTTTTGCATTAAGGCTGCATTAGAGCAGCTGGAATAAAACCAAGGCAGGGCTGATGTCAATTTGGCTGCAGCACCCTCTCCTCCCAAGCAGCCAGCCTTGCTCAGCTATGAGTGTTCCTGAGAAGAAATGGTTTTTATGAGAGCCATTTCGAGCACGGGGCCGGGGCAATGCTCAGTGGGGCCTTCTGTTCTCCCCCAGTTCTTGTTCCTGGATATTTACAATATCCATAAATTTACAATATCCATATATTTACAATATCCATAAATTTACAATATCCATATATTTACAATATCCATCTATTTACAATATCCATAGATTTACAACATCCATAAATTTACAATATCCATATATTTACAATATCCATATATTTACAATATCCATATGTTTACAATATCCATATATTTACAATATCCATATGTTTACAATATCCATATGTTTACAATATCCATATATTTACAATATCCATATACTTACAATATCCATATATTTACAATAAACAGCTCTGCCCCACAACCTGCTGCTGTTGCAGGGTGAAAAAGGGCGTTCATTGCAGTGCTCCCAGGTGGAAGGGCACATGTATTATAAAGAGGCACAGGAGTCAGGATGGTCTGAAAAGATGTCCTTGATATCCACATCGAGCACAGATCAATCACTTCCAGGAATTCCTGACAAATCTCATGGCCTTGTCCCACCATCTTTCCTTTGTGAGCTGATTATTTTCAGCTTGTTGAATATTGCTCCATCTCTCAGGAGTTTCTTTAACTGACTCAGTTTACAGCAGGCTGGCAGCTGCTTTATGCCCCTGTGGCATCTGGATACTCAGGGTTCTGTGGGCTCAGACAGCCCTGAATGGGCACCGTGTGCTCCAGCCTGGGACTCTGTATTTCATTAGAAAATGTGGAAATGTGAGCTGCTGGAATCATTGTAGTGGCACCTCATGAAATCATTCAAATTAATATTGTACATGCTGGGGATGTAGACTTACATCTTTGTATTCAAAGACTTTGTATTCAAAATAAAGGCAGTTCAAGTTAAAGCTAAATTTTAAAGTAAGTCGATAAATACAAAGGAAAGTGTAGGGGGTGGATTGTTTGTGGTTTATTAGCACAGCAACATTAATGTAGAGGAATGACTGTAGGCTGCACCAGTGAAAATAAACACAACCTTTTCAGCTGATTTCACTGTTTCTGCCAAAGGTTCGAGCTGCCTTCAAGCACAAAACCAAGGTGTGGTCTCTCACCAGCAGCTCAACTCGAAACATCAATGTGAAGCCCTTCAACTCAGACATTGTGAGTATTTATCTTTTTCTTACCCCYGTTGTACTGGAAAGGGCTCCACATTAAATTCTGTTACAGAGAACAGAGAAGGCATTTGGGTATTTTTAGTGCTGACCTAACACGGTGTAGGCAGGAGGAATCAGCAAACACTCAGATGCAGCTACAGCTGTTTGAAAGCAGAGGACAGAACTCTGCTTTCTGGTAAAATATCAAATAGAAGTAACCCCAGGTTTATGAGCTCTGGATACRGTTCAATCAGGCTTTTCCCAATTGTATGGATTGTATGGATTCCAGCAGCATTTTGGCAATGYACTGCTGTGCTGATGGTGCCTCTTTGATGGGCCACTCTCACTCTGAACCAACACGTGAATATCCTTTTCTAGCTCTCCTTAAACTCTCCTGAGACCAAAGACATTTGTTTCTATGAAGAAGCAGAAATGTGAGGTGATCAGTGTTATTAAGCCATCGCTGCCAATCACCKTAGCTGCTGACAATAACTGTTTAAAAATCCTTTATGCCATATGCTCTCAGGACCCTGTGACATGTGTAATGTAAAYAGATGCTTTCAGGCTTTTATTTCAYCCAGGCAAGAGTGGCGTGGCAAAAKAAATAAATCAATTTTCTATACTATTTTATTTTCCAGATGAGTGGGAACAGGCCAGGCACGACTCCCACAAAGCTGAACACCTGGGATAAAAGCAGCAATTCAGCCAACCGCATTGATTTATCAGCAGTGTGACAGGAATACCAGCTCCTCAGAGAAAATCAAACCACACTTCCAGGACCTGTGACACCGTGTCCAGCAGCTTTCTCTCACTGTTAATAACTGCAGAAAACTGGGGTTTTTAAATCACTGCCTAATGAATTGGGAATTGCCATATTGTTTTGTTGAGTAAATAGCCCTCATCTGCTTGCCTTCRAAACTCTAACACATTCTAGCACTTGGCTATTAGCAATATCTGTAAAAATAACCAGCACAAATATACACTGGATGGTTTTGTCAGCAATGATGAAAACACTGGGTCTGCMAGAAGGGCTTATTGCTCCCTGAATCATTCCAGCTCCCAGGACGGAGGGAAAGCAACGMACCTCTGGAAAGATGGATTTTTATGCTCTAAAATGAAATGCTTCCCATTGTGATGYTGTAATGAGGCTATTCTGGACTTGCTGTGCTCTCTCTGTTTACATTTATTATCTTACAGAATCCAATTATTGAGGTGAAGAAGCTGATTCAAAATACATAGTATGGTGTTTGATCTAAATGCCAGGAAGAAGCCAGGACTGGAGGGAGAAGCAGGTTCAGCTGTTSCACTGCCAGCGTGGGTGTGGATGACAAAACCCAAACCACGTCYGACTGTGCCCATGGACAGCACATGTAACGTGTGAATCTCCACGTGTGTGTGGCCCATTTGGGATCCTCCTGCTGACCTGATCTACCAGAGGCAGAAATGGCCAGGGCTGTCCTGCACAGCCCCTCTGGTGCTGATTTGGGTCTGCTGACACATTGCAATCCCAATTATTCCACGGCTTTGTCTGCAGCTTCAGGACTCAATCAAAGCTCTCCATCGAGTGCCTTTTGCAAACTCGCTGTGGCTTTCACACATCAAAACCTGGCACTGTGACTTCTCCTGCTCCTTTTACTGGGCATTTCGAGACCCTGAACTCCTGCCACMAAGATGCACCACACTGATGTACTGTGAAGACAACCAGCCCACAAACAAGACTGCATTGTTTCCTGCAGATGGCTTTTAAATAGGTCTCTGCAGCCTCTTTTGTGGTTTTAAACTCTGCTCAGCRTTTAGTAGCTTCTGCTTTACTGCTGCCATGAAGTATTTTTAAGGAGGAAAGAAACACGATTATTTTCCTTCTGCCCACTGTTTTGTGGGTTCTCAAGTGGTGTTTGGAGCAGAGGGATCCTCAGCTGTGCCAAAGCTGCTCCTCCCCAGCAGGAGCAAAGCTCAGCTCAGGTCCTGTGCTGGTCAGAGCCATGGGGACACTGCTGTGGATTCACTCAGGGTCCCCAGAGAGCTTTCCAAAGGCCAGGTCCCCTCACAGAGTGGCTTTGCAGCCACAATTCCTTGTCCCCAGCCCTGCCCGGTGTGCAGAGCTGTCCCTGTCACAGGCTGGGTGTCACCCTGTAAGGAACTCCTGACACACTGAGCTATCCAAGCACTGCAACAGCCAGAAAATATGCAAATCTTCAACATCATCTTTTGGTTTGGGTTTTTTTAACCCTAATTAACTGTTTGTACATTCAGCAGTTCAGGCTGTTTCTCGTCCCAGTGAATCTGCTATTGGTTTCCAAGAGAAAAGTTATTTAACCCTGATGTGCAGAGTGAACATTTTCTAGTGAATAGAAAATTTATCAAAAAGCACAATGAAAGTGAATTGATCTTCAGGGAACGGGAAACACTCACCAATTAGGACTGAATTTAGTGAAGCGTTTAATCCAAAAGACATGGGATTGAAAGTTTAAAAAAACTCAATGCATTTAATTTCTGTTTGAGCCAAACCAAGTTTTGCCCATGTTTCCTTTCTGCACTAAAAAAAGAGATCTCTTTCAGTTTGTTCCAATCTTTTCTGCCTTTKCCCCTTCCTTGCCAAGACTTGTTGCTGTGATCCCCAAACTGGAAGYCCAGAGCTCACCCAAGTTTAAGTTTGTTGGGTTTACAACTTAAAACATTCTACAGAAATTATTTGAGCTGCACCAGATCTGTGCTGGATTTCTGCAGCTCCAACAGAGCAGAACTGCATTTCACACATAYACACACATGAAATAGAGAGGCTTTAACCTCATCTTTCCTAATGCCAAATAACTCCAGTTGTTGGCAACCAATTCTAAAGGGAGGGTCAGTAAAAGCTAAATACATATGGCTGTGTCTTTATTTTTGCTTTTGTGTATGGTTTTCTCCTTTTCTGCATTGCTCTGTCTTACAATTGTACAAATATCTGGGCTTTTCTTGGCCTGAAAAACATTTTTTTCCCCAAATGACAGAGTAGACRGAGCCCTTGGTATGTACAGAGGAGATTGAATAGAACAGTACTGTGATAACAGAGTTTGTATTGTGTGCAAACAACATATTTAAGCATATTTTTTATACTGGAGCATATGAGTTTTTCCRTTGTGGGTTTGTTTTTATTTGTTTTTGGTTTTTTACACTGTGACCACAAATACAGATTGAAACCCTTCTTGATAATTTCTCTTCTGATCATTGTATTATCGCACARAGTTCTGTGAATGAACCAGACAACATATAAAAGCTTCTATTTTAATCTTAGTTTTTAAAWGTATTCCCCTCTTCCCAATTTTCATTGCGTGCATTTCCTCCTGTGCTGATGTGTATTGGTCACTCTGTGACTGTCCAAGGTCCATTTGAAGAGAAAACRAGGGACAGCAATGACAGCACAAAATGGCAGTGGCACAAAGGGATAAACCAGGTTTTCATCCAGGTATGCTGTTTTAAAATTGTTCACCAAAAACCAGATCAGCATTGAAATGTGTTTGTACTTTTGAATGGGACACAGAAGCGTTGTGCATTGAGGGAGTGTCCGTTCTCCTGCACCTCCTGGGATGTTTAAACTGCATCCCTGCTCCAACTGCAGCACCTCCCCCTGTCCATGGCACCTGAACGGGGCTGGGAGGGAGCCCTGAATTTATAACACTGCCCTGGGGATGGGGCCTCTGTTTATGATGAATTTGTAAAAATCCCCACAAAGTACAAATGGGTTCTGYTGCCATTTAAGTCCATTCTTTTTGTTTGATTCAAAGTGTTTTTGTTGGTACTGAATGCAGCAAATGTACTGAGTAAGAAATGCTCAAATGAATCTTTAAACAATCTCTTCCTGTCCTCAGTCTTTTGAAGCTTGAAAATATTGCAGTTTATTTATGGGCTTGTATATAGCAGCTCTAACRATACTTTTTTTCTGGACAGCATCATTTTGTCAATGGTATGAAAGCTTAATTGAATGAAATGTGAGTTTTAAAAATAGGTAATGTAGCAAGAATGACTTTGCCAGTAAACACTAAAATAATTTAGTTTTGTTGGTTTTTCCCCCCCTCAAATAAATGAGAAATGTTAATTTCCTAAAAGAACTTTGTTACAGTTATTCATTTGACACGGATTTTAAAGAAGGGCACAGCAGTGCAGGTTCCCCCCAGGGCTGTGGCTGCAAATGCACAGGCAGAGCTTTACCCAGGGCCAGAGCTGCTGTCTCTCAGGTGTGCTGTGGGAATGAGCTGCCAATAWTTTTGTGTTAAAGTGCACAATAAATGTACTGAGCTCAGCAGCAGAGACAGAACTTCTGGAATTTGGTACCACCAGAGCAGAACCAATTTCAGGCCTTGCCCGAGTGGCTCAGAGACCAAAGGTTTGGCTCCAAGGTTTCACTCCAGAGCAGGTCAAAAGTGATGGGTTTTTAACTAATACAAATTTATTAAAACTTTATTACTATTACACTGTTTTCTGAAAATAATGTAAATGCAGGAATGTCGCATCTCAGTGAACAAACAGCCCCATCACAGGGATGCAATCCTGTAGCTCTCATTTTCAAACTTTGAGCTCGTTCTGTGGTGATGAACAGACTGCCAGCTGCCTCCTCTGTATCACACAGGGGTGTAGATGTGGAAAAATAACTAGAGCAATTGCATGATGAAAAATTAAAGATTGGAATTTAGATGAGAAAGGTTTCTCAGCCTCTTTTAATAAACCTTCTTCCCTTTGTATCCTTTTAAATCATGTAGCAAGGCATACATAAAAGAACGCTTTCTTGCTATTTTGTGAAACACAGAGGTTATTAACATTTATCATTCATGACAGAATAATAAATTAGATCATTTTGGCACTGGCTTACATCATGTTTGCCTTTAAAAATATTTTCATTATATCTACGTTACGCTTGGCTGGCTCCGTGTAGTATGTCATGGATAGTTATTGCTATAATTGCCCTTGTTCACACAATTTTCCTTCTCAATAATCCCATATGTTCTTTTGTCAAGGGTGATTACCACACTAAATGTACCAAGGACATCAGCATCTCCACCAGGTGCTGACACACGACAGAAACATTGAGTCATGAGGGATTTCTGAGCACTGCTCAGTGGATTTTTATTAAATCCCTTCTTTGACTGGTGCTCCACTTGCTCAGGATCATTCCCACCAGAGCTCCTTTAGGCTCATTTACCTCTACCAAAGGCAACTGAAATTTTCTCTCCTCCTGTTACTTTCTGTCGTTACTGAATAAAATCAGGCTTGATTGAGCACTGTATGTGCTCCTTTAAGCATTCTCCAAGATAACCATTTGCTGATATCTACTCACAAACAGAGAATAAAGCATAAAACAGTTCAAGACATTAAAAAAAATGCAGCACAATTAGCAACTCTGCCATTGCAAAAATCTAGTTTTAGGAGGCAATTGTCTATATTTTGTGACATCTGTTCTAATTTCACTTGAATTGATAATGCCAGAAAAGTGCAACAGAAAAGTTTGGGATTGAGTATGCAAGTGACAAAAAATAAAACTGTTCTAGGATTGTGTGAGGCAGCCAGTGGTAGTGATGCACTTTAAGAAGAATGTTAATTGACAAATAGATAAGTGGAATTTGGGAGTTTGAAATGTGCTTATTTTTAAATGTCATGAACAAAAAATATGAATCAAACTGAAAATGTTAAAAAAGTATTAAAGTTAGGCCGTAGCTCTGAGTTCTTACTTTCTCCCTGGGAAGGTGCAGTGTCTCACAAATTATGGAACACAGAGTTTTAGCTGTTCGGAGCTTCCCAATGTGCATTTCTTGTGGTGTCATTACCAAAGCTGTTAGCTGAAAAAATAGCTCTATTAAATGAAAAGCTTTGGTACGGAGGAAGAAGATTATCTGATATTTCTTTCCTTGTTAAATTATTGCACTGATGCACAGCCAGCAGCCACGGTATTTTTCTTGCAGTTAGATGTGCACAGGATCAAACAGGACCCTCTCCTTAATGAGAAGACATTATTAAAAATTGCTGTGCAAAATGCTTTGCTGTTGTGGTTAC